TTTTTTATTTAGAATTGGTCAAAAAACAAAAGAAATAAAATTCATTCAATTCAAAATGTGTGATGTGGTTATGTTGTGTGGTATCATGTGGTGTAGAGGAAACCAGAAAAACGTCACAGGGTTGAGGGCGGGGGGAGAGAATCAATGAAAATCCACTTTTATTACACTTTTTCTCAAGGTCAAAATCTGAAATGGTTGATTTACCCTCTCACAAAATGCGACGATAGAAGTTTAACTTAAAAAAAAAATTTGAGCATTAGGCGTACTCTAATAGCAGTGGATGGATTAATGAATAATCAGTGAACTCAAATAGTTATACTGCTAACTTCTGTTTATTATTGAATGACGTTTCGGCCCATACAGAAACAAGTTTCAAGGCCCTCATCAGGTTCAAATAAAATAATTGACCGCTCAAATATTCGCAATAATAACATCTAGCGCGTTGCCTGACGCGACCCGTTTGAGTGGGTGTATATTTTAAGGAGCTTTGAATCTTAACAACTTAAAAAATAGCCCTTTTTGTAAAATATACGGGAAAAACTGAGAATCAACGGACTCATATGGCCAACAGTTATTTTAAAGCATAAGCAACTCACGGTACTTTTAAGCGTAATTAGAGTTTTTTTAATTTTTATAGCTTATTATTTGACCAAAAAGCTGTATCGATTCTGAAAAAATATGTTTTTAATGAAAAGATTTTTGTTCTGAGAAGTGTCAGAAATAGATGTAAAATTTTTAACTGAAAACGTTTCAAATTACGTGTCAACACACTATGGTGTTCCATTTAGTAAGCCTCGGGCAAAGCCGCGACGAGGGGCAGCGAGTATATATATCTTCCTACATTATATAGTTCTAAGAGTTTAGAGCGAGGTTTCTCTCCCCCCCCCTGTACCCCCACATTCTCTTTGCTCTCTCCTACCCCTCTGTCTCACTCCCCCGCAGCTTTCCTTCAAATAAGGTAGTTTTTCTTTCATTTTTTTGCATATTTCAGGTAATTTTACGTTTTCGCTAGCTCCCTCTACTCCTTTCACTTCCCCACACGAGCGACCGCACCACTCTACCACTTCCCTGCAGCTTCTCCCCATACTTCCTTCCATGCTCCCTCCATACTCCCCCTCAATTTCATCACATTATGTAATAATATTAGTATGTATAATAATGCAATGAATAAGTTTGTAAAGCCTTACATATAAACTGTTACAAATAATTTCATTTTATTTCACTATAACAACATACTTTATTACAATTTTACTTACTAACGATGTTTATTTTGATTACTTACTTAAAAATGCCTTTTTATATCTGTATCTGCAAACATATAACATAAAATGGATTGTATATGATTTCATAAGTCTTGGTACTAGAGGGTACTGCAATTTGTGTAATGCAATGACCTATGAATAGTTCTTTTGTTACTCTAAGATTTCATTCCAAACAATATTTTCAATTTCAAATTTGTTTTCTGATTCAACATGAATAAAAAATTATCTTTGGGTTTCTACATCTGGACAACGCAACATACGATTGCCCATAAGAAAATAAGGGTTTTCTTAGGTAAAATTCTGAGGCATCAAAACTTTTACCTTAAGGTTTATTGATAGTCATAGAAAAAGCTAACGTAAATGGAAATTTTTTTCTGTACAATGTAAATGGTAGCGAAAAGAAATTGTTTGTATTTAGTGTTATTTTTGGAATAAAGACTTTATTCCCTTTTTCTTTTCCTGTGATTATTTCCATGTTGTATTTAAATAATTTTTTAATTCATAATCTTGTACCATTGTAAAGTCCTTCAGATATGTCTAAGTTTCGTATTAACATAACAATAGCTTTAATTTTCAAATTCAACTCATGTGGAGAAAGATCTTCTTTAATACCATTTAAATATTTTTTAGGGAAATTGATATAAATATTATCCTCTGTTTTATCTTTTCCTTTGTGAATTACTTTATTAATACTATAATTCGTTACAAATCTTCCTACTATATTGTTTAGAATTTTTTTGTTCAAAAAATGTGTGTATTTATTGTGAGATGTTATTATATCTTTAGTTATACAAGAATTATTATCATTGTTAAAAAATTTTAGAAGATATATCATTTGTTTTCTATGTCTAAAGACTTCTAAGTTCTAAAATTCTGAGTTTTAATGTTGCCGTTTCCTTTATCTACGGTCAGCTGGTGACAGAAAAAATTAACCAACTTTCTCCAGTCTGCCAACTATAGGGGATATGTTTACAGCCCCAAGCTACAGAAAAATGTATTAAATAAGACTCTATACGCGT